CAATTTAAACTTTTTTTTTTACTGCTAATCTGTTGCTCTACTGCAGGTTTTGAATGTTTGCAGCATGTAGAAGAATTGAGAAAAGGAATGATGAACACAAACAGTCACAACTGCACTCACCACTGTGCTGGCTTCCCGCACTGCCAGCAGCTGGTCCACCATGGAAGGGCTGTGGCAGCTCATATGGGTGAGGGATGGGGAACTGGTAGGGCAGGGTCATGGGCCAGGGGGCGGCCCCGGGGTGGGGCAGAGGGGGCAGAGTGTCCTGATCTGAGGCTCCCCCACTGGAACCATCATGGTCATGGAGAGACAAGTGGGTCATGTCTAAGAGACAGAAGAAGCACAAATGATTTCGATTTCCACATTAATAATCCGCTTCTAGAAAATGTTTGTTATCTTTACGACATGTGGCTGGACACACAGATACAACTGAACCTTAACACTTTGAAGGGGGTTGCTTTTACAGCTATTAACACTCCGAGCAGATCTTAGCTTGTGTCCACTTACTGCCACAGAGGTCTCCGAAGACGTAGTAGCACTGTTCAGAGAAAGTGATCTTGTTGACGGTATGTCGAATGTAGCCAGCCTTCAGCAGGTTACTGGCGTATTTGCGGGCTTCACGGCGATCCGAGAAGCCTTCCACGTGATGGAAGAGCCAGTCCACCACATCAGAACCTGAAGAGACAAAGACATACACATTGTAAGTACTGGACATGCCATTAAAAAATATATATATTCTAGGACTATTTCATTGTGTGGAATAAAAGCTAGGATCACTTGGATTCCTCTCCTGCCAAACTCTGAGACTGGGTGCCACCTTTGCATTCAGTATTTACCTATACAATGGTGCATTCACAGTTCCACCTATACATATCCTCTCTCCTACAGCTTTTGCAATAATGCAGCCTCATATGTTCACACTCCCAGGTTTCATGTAAGCACTATGCAGTCACTGCAGTAATCCTGGCAAGGGCCACAGCAAAGATGCTGAGCCCCATGTGATCCAAACAAATTCATTTTGGTTTGATCTGAACAAAGAAAGTCTGCCAATATTCATCAGGCCCCTTTCCATGTTCTTTCACACAGTTTAATCTCAGAGTTTTGTGCCATTTTGAGGGCGGTGGTTTGCTTCTTAGACTCTGCACCCAGTATTATGATGTCCTTCACACTGTCTGATCAGGGAATAAAACACCAGTTTCCCCAGATAACTGTTACACCAGTCAGAAGCACTTATCTGTTTTTCAATACAAGGTCAACCTTTTTCAAGGGTGGCCACTGCGCCTTCTGTTATTGCTGGTATCACTCTTCTCGTACACACTGCTCCTACTGTTTTAGCTCATTATCAGTGGCTACCACTGCACTTGTGCCCTTTTCCATCTTTCTGAAGCCTCACCATCTAGTTTGCCATGAGCCAAAATGGAGAATGCTGTGATGTATGCAGGTTAATTTATAGTTTATATTATTAATTTCTTGTGATGAAAAACTGTAATGATGTTGTTTGACTGAATTAAACAAGAGATTCTGAACTAATTCAGCTACATCACTGACACACACACAGTCCAGGTCTACATACATACATACCAATAAAAGCATTAGCAATGGTTATCTTGAGCCACATCCTGTCCCGCACCTCCAGCCCTGACTCAGGGCAGGCCATGGCCTTAGCAACTGTTGCCATGTCACTGTGGATGGAGAGGTGGAAGTCATCGAATCCTGGGAGAGAGGACACGTGCAAATTAACACGGGAACCACATCCTGTTGTCCAAGTTGAAATCTGTCTGAGATACTGTATTTATCACCACACCTGTTTTACAAACAACAGTATTAATCTTTCACAGGTATAAGAAGAACAGCTGAGTACTGTTATCTGAACAACAACAACAACAACAAAATCTTGATTTGTTTTGATATTTGCCACAAATACTAGGTGCTTTCTTGTGATCTGGACTGTAATTTGACCTCCTGTCTTGTCTTGACCATGGATCAGACTGAATCCTTGACACACCTCCAAAAGGTTGACTGTAATGTATCAAATGTCCTCCAGTGAACACATTATATCTTACATTTCATTTAACTGAGTCTCATTGTTTTCCAAGTGCAGCTATTTTGATAATGGGTTGAAATTTACCCTTTGCTGTTCCCACTTCCTTCAACCTGGCTCATCTACCTCCACTCCAATCACTGACTTCCTTTACTTCCCAGAATGCCTTGTGAAAAAAGTACTAAAACAATTAAAAGTGTGTGAACATCTTTGACCCGAAGTGCTCTATCTGTGACACTTTGATGTCAGATATCACTTTTTCAGCTTTCAGTAACTTGTCGGAGTCACGCCTTCTATTCACAGTGCAGCTTTTGAGAGACATTGTACACCGAGTTTAACTGATATTTACAAGATTAAAGCATGTGACTTGGAGTGAACTTTATGTTCTGTTTGAAAGGGAAACACTGCAAATATCTGAATGATGTCGACTTGGTCAGGACAGTGTCAAGGGAGGGAAGATGCTCCTCCAAAAGAAAGAAAAAACATTTCCATCCTTCCAAAGATTACAGGGAAGATGAAAGCTACAGCTCAGGTTTTACAAGACTTAGTGAGCAGATTAAAAGCTCTGACACTAAATACAGTGAAAAGGGTGAACAGAGAAGGAGCAAGGCCACACTTAACACAGAAATGTACTAATGTGCCAAAGGACGATAGCAATATTACTGCACTACTGCAGAGAGAGTGAGTTCTGAAAAGGCTGAGAGTTGAATGTTGAAACAAGTGAACTCTAGAAATGGCAACAATCCTGGTGGACTTTATGCCTTATATCATAACAGTGTGAACGGTCAAATTTACCAGGTAAAAATGAAAAGCCAACAGAAAACATAGTAAGATACTGCAAATGGAGCAGTAAAACAAAGTATTAAAGAATTACACTCCAAAATCAAAGAGGGGGAAGAATGTAAGCAAAATGTAACTCACGCTCAGTCTCGGGGATTGAGCTGCTGATGGAGGAGCTTGTGGAGGTGACGGTGCTCATGGAAGGACTCATACCATATGGAGGGTACACCCCGGTCATAGCTGCCGTGTGGGACACCCATGCAGCTGGGTCAATGGGCCGGATTGGCTCACCTGTTGAATGAAAAGTATTAAAGGCAGCTGGAGTTTGTGCCTTTATCCAAGCCACAGTAACGTATACCAAAGCAAAAAAACAAAGAAGGAGAGAAGAAATCAGCACTCACTCCTTGGCAGAGCAAAGCAGCTCCGAGGGTTCGGGTCCCAGCACTTGGCCACGGTCAGAGTAATGGGGCTGGTATCAAACACAGATTTTTAAGTTTACACAAAGAGAGTAAACACTGGCATAAACACACAGAATAGCTTCAGCTTAGGCTTTACTAGGCCTCTGTTTTGCATCTGTGTTTCTCTTCATTGCTGTATATATTAATGTGTGCTGCTTACCCTGGCTTGTGCACAATGTCCCTCAGTACTCGAACTGCATCATCATTGCTCATGTTCTCAAAGTTGATGTCATTCACCTAAGGGGATAAAAATGAAAGATTTTAAAAACATTCATCTCTATGGCTGTACACCTATTGTAGGCTTTGGGTTCTACAAAGACTCGCGACTCTGTTGACTGCTCCTTACAGGAAACTCTTTCTTCATTACATGCTGAAAAATACAATGTTATGAGCTGTACTCCCAGGCTCCACAAGAATACAAGGAAAATCTACAACTCAAATTATGACAATAAAAAAGATGGACACTAAGTGTTTCCTGTATAAAAAAGAGAACATTTTCACAGCTTCCCACTCCGACACACGTCCCACTGCACACACACAAACACACAAAAAAGAATGATGATGAAAAATAAGAATTAGAGTGTCCAGTAAATGTGTCCACACCTTGCCATACAATGCAACACTTTCAGAACACATTAAAATGTGTCTAGAAATGTAAATAAGCCAGGAAAAGAGGAATGGAAGAAAATAGCTGATAAAATTTTTAATCCACATGTTGTGTAATGACATGCTGTTTCATGTAGTCATGCCATTGATACACACGGCCTTCTGTTGAGTAAAACATTACAAGGTTCTTTCACTTCACTGCAGGTGCTGGCACTCATCATGCTGCTACCTACGCACAAACTTTCCTGGTTTGAGTCCCAGGTATGCTACAGCACTTATTTTTCATGCACTGTTTGTATGTGTCTTAATTACACATATAGACACACACCTGCAACAGCATGTCCCCAGGTTCTATGCGTCCATCTGCAGCCACAGCTCCTCCCTTCATAATAGAGCCAATGTAGATTCCTCCATCTCCTCTCTCATTGCTCTGACCAACAATACTGATGCCCAGGAAGTTGTACTTCTCTGTGAGGTGGAGAGGAACAGATGATATGTATTGGAGAGTGAATGAAAGCAGCAGTGGAATGAGTAAAAACAGAAACGACTGTATCAAAATGGAAGAAAATCAGTTGCAACAGCATATTTCCTTTAAACCTTGGGAGAGTTTGTGGCTGTATTCTTCATTCATCCCAACAAACCTAACTCTATGCTGTGTGCAATTTCCACCAGTCACTTACCCATGTTGAGAGTGACAGTGATGATGTTTAGAGACATAGTGGAGTCTGTGATGCTGCTGAATGATGACGACTAGAGGGAAGAACAATGAAATACACAAGGAAATCAATTAAACATGAGACAAAGAATCAAACATTAGAAACTAGACTACAGTTTTTCATAAAATGTCTTTGGCTGATTTACAGTCCAGGATGTGCAGGTGTGTGGTCTCACCCTGTCCATATTGGAGGCCTTGGGTTTCCGTCGGCGACGGCGGTGTCGTCTCATTAGACGAGAGGAGCTCTGTTCAGTAGAGCTACTGAACCTGAGAATAAAAAATAAAAAATAGACAAAATATGATATTTTTCAAAAACAATACACACTGAGAAATGGTGTTATATATGAGCTAAAGCCCAGTACAAGATTATTGAGTCAGTGATCAGAAAAACACGTCTACCTGAATCAAGTTTAAAAACCATGACAGATCATAATGTAAATAAAATCCAAGATCTACAGCAAGTGGAAAAAACATCCCAGTCAATGCCTAAAGACTGAGACCAGCAGAGTCTCCAAAGTGGGTGGCAAATATTTCTATGACTCTAAGACGAGAACCTGGGGGGTGACCACAAAAGCCACCAGACAATTAGACTCTGCCAAAACCCATTAACTGTAATTCCAGATGCATTCCTCAAGCCATATGCTTTTTTCCCCATTACGAACAGCTGCATAGAACATCTGACCTGCTGGTTGCGTCATCATCCTCTGAATCGAAGCAGGAAGTGGACTCCAGCTCGCTGCTCATGAACGAAGAGCAGCTGTCGTACTCTGCACCCCCACGTCCCACTGCCCGCGACGAGTAGCCATTCTGCCTCCCACCTGCAGCAGGACAGCATTATGATCAGAGATAAGAGACTGATTTAGGTCAGACAGTTTGTCAGGAGTCAGACTCTTCTCTCCTTGTCTACATTTAAACTAGATTTAACAACAACAACAAAAAAAAACTTCAAATCATGCCTGTTCCTTATTGATGTTGCTTTTCTGCAACATCCTACTGCGGCTCATACCAGTTATCAAACCTCTACACAAGCCTAACATGGTTAGAGGTTCACAGAAGCTATGATAGCAGCAGGCTACAGATGTGCATCTCTCACATCGTTGTGCATAAACTCTAAGGTTGGCTTTTAATCTGTGACTTTTTGTAAATTCAGTCTGGCAAGACAAACACCTCCATGTATGGAGAATACTTAGGTTTTACCCACAGATAAATGACACTGGTCAGTTGTGAAAATGAAGGAAATAAAACTGCTATAACAATACAATAATTTAAATTTAGAAAAACAGCTTTCTGACCGTGATCATTAGTGTGTTTCCGCCGTGGCCTCTCCCTCTCTCTCCTCTGCAACACCATGGAGCCGCTCTCGGTGTCATTGTCCAAACTGTCCCGACCACTTGCTGCTTTCCCGCTGCAAACGCAGAGGGTGCACAGGAGTGAGAGGTAGAAGAACACTGCATCATTATCAGGGCAATAAAGTTAGTTTTGACAGCCACTTAAATGTTGACATTAAGTGCTTCTTGCTATAATCACATTACAAACTGTTCCAAGTATAAAGTCTTCTCTAGCACAGTGTAGTTGGGGTTGCACTCTGATGATGCATCTCAGTCTGCTATGCATTTCTGTTTTATTACTACCATGTGTCTTATACACATTTTACACTCTGCTTTAATTGCGGCTCTCCACCTGGATAGTCACAAGGTGTCATACTTTTTCTATTCAAGCTGCTGTTTCCTCTGTTGCTGTCCTCACTGGGAAACAGGAGGACTCATTCAAGACATGCACAGAGCCAAACACAAAGTACATATGGAATTTCTCTTATTCACACACACACACACACAAAAAAAGCCAAAAAGCACCACAAGCCTTCTCTCAGTATACTGACTGATAGGAAGGTGGTCTTGAGTCTCCGATGCCCCCGGTCCTCTCCAAAGGGGGTGCTGGCTCCAAACTATCTGCCACTGAGCCTGCATCTGTGTGGGCCCTGTCTCCAGAGACCAGCTGGCAACAGAGAGGGTCAGGTCAGTCAGATAGATGAGACAAACAGTTAAAGAGAACAAGCGTGCAGCAGGCCCACATCAAACACTGCTGTCAACTGGTCTCAAGGACTCGACGGTATGTGTTGCTATCACTGCCTAAAAGTTTATAGATAATGTGGGATACAAAAAAAATCCCAAAATGCTGAAAGCACAAAGCTATCCAAATGCAGTTGTGCTGGACAGCGTTGCCTCCTATGAGCCATGACTCAGTTCGAGGTGACATTAAATTTTAACATTAGCTGTTTGCATTTCATCGCAGTGAGCATTTGTCCTGCTTGTTCAATGTCTTACTTTTTACAGTGTTCTGTTGTGCAGCATCCTGGGTGTTGCCTGAGTTAAAAATGAAGAATGTACTTGCATAATTTGCAGGTATCAACAGGTCTCAAAGATAACATCAGATTAAACTATCTCCACTATTAGCAGCCTGCAGTTGGTTAAAAAAAAAAAACTAACTAAAATGTGATAACTATTAATGTCATCTCTGGGGCTGTTTATGACCCCCATTCAAAACCATTTCAATAAGTGTAATCTAGTGTAAATCTGTTGTGTGAGGGGATAAAATGCAGCTGTTTCATGTCATGCTTTTGGACTCACACTTCATGTTAACATCACCATTAATCAAACATTGTGTATTTTCTCCACTGTATTCAGTCATACCCTAAACTATAGAGGGTTTGTCATTTTGTTTTGTTTTTTTTTGGGGGGGGGCTCCCAAAACACAAAACTGATTAATCATTTGATCTCTATCATGCACCACAATAAGACAGATTTCATTTACACTGCACTGCAATAGGGCAGCTTATTTCATATAATCACAAAGTGCATCTGTTACACCACAGCTAGGATATCAAACTGAAACACTTGTACAACCAAACGGTGGCTCTGTAAAAGGGGTGGTCAAAAATGATTGTAGTTGTAATTATGAGCCCCACACTTCATTTTTTTACCATTATATCCTGTTTATACCTATACTGTATACAGTATTTATACTGTAATGGTTGCGCTTTGCAGGGACTCTGCTTCAGTATATACATCTGATTTGTGTGGCAGGCCTACTGAGGTAAAAAATGATGTAAAAAATGTATTTATTAGACCAAAGCTGCTGGTCAGCTGACAATACAAGTACAGCTGGGCAGATTCAGGGTGCTGGCCTGTTGTGATGATGTGATGTGAAAATAGCGAGCCGGACCCTAGGACCCCAGAGAACAATCAGTGAAACAACACACGAACAGTGAAGACAAACAAATAGACACAGTGTAACAGAAATAACATTTCATAGTACATGGAATCTTTCAAAACCTCCCAAGAGATAACAAACACATTCATGTGCACGCACACATACAAAGAGAGGAACAGGCTTTGAACAAAAGCCAACCAAACCTTGACACAGTCTGATGAAAATGACCACAACATAGGGAAACATCAAAATGGGCTTCCTGGATTTATAAATCAAACGTGGTGACTCTTACAAAAAAAAAAAAAATCTATAATTATAACTGACTGCGTGAAATTAACCAAATGCATCAGCCTTTCACATCACAACACAGACTCGGCATCATTGTCTGCTCCCTGTGAAACTCATTCTCGTTTGATGATATACAGTGAGGCTCTGTGTTTTCCTCTCATCCTGAGATTTCGCTTGCTCTTAATCCATTTTCAATGTGTTCAATGTGGAGAAGAGAGGAAGTGAGGCTGTGCACCGGCGCCAGATGTCTCTTGTGTTGTGGAGACAGAATTATTGCTCAAACATCCAATAGTACATGCAAGTCAACCTATGTATGTGCTGCGTGTGCTGACTAGTATGTGTGAGGATGAAGTTACTTAAAAACCACTACAGCTCATTTTCTTAAAAATGCTTCATATCACAAGAGCACAGAAAAGGAGCATGTGTCATTTGTTCCTAGCATCATTATGTGTTAATGATATTATCACGCATATGTATAGGGCCTCTCCCTAGAGATGGAGTATGGTTGTGTGTGGTCAGTGGCCAACACATGGGAATCGCTATTATACATGCACATACATAGTTGCTACACAACCACTTAACCACACAGACAAATGCATAGCACCAACAAACTACCTACCCATGACACCACACGTCCATTAAAACAGGGCAGCTTGGCGTTGTCATCAGATATTTCCTCCTTTACCACCCTATAAAAAGAACAAAGCTTGGTTTCAGCAAACCTTAACAACACAAAAGCACTCCCAGGGCAATAAAACATGAGGCTGCAATACTTCCATCAGCCAGGACAGACACTGACAACTGGGACAACCAATGGTGATTTAATAGCGCACTTACGACACTACTGTTACACACTCCCAGCCAACACGACATATTTCTTACAGAGAATGTCAACACTCAAAGTGTAATGACAACAGGTCAAAATGTATTCTCTAAACCTTCCTGCGAAGATAAACAGCATCCTCTGGATGGTAAAATGCATCTAGGGTGAAGAAATAACATATTTAAGGAACACAACAGATTAAGAGAATCATTTCTGCATGCTTCCCTGTATTACAAACAGTAGACAAGGAAAACCAGTCAAAAGAGGGTCATTTGTTCAAGTAATAGTGTCTGATAAAAAAATAAAAGCTCTTGGCCCTGCAATTAAAGACCTCCTTGGTGACAAATCAAGCCTATCATTGTAAAAATGCGCCCTGGTTTATATTCCAGTCTGACAAGTTGCTTAATCTATACCAACACGATTTGCAGTAAAAGTTTCAGTTGTTTATTTACAGAATAGACCTCTACTCTTCACAGCATGAATAGCTGTGGGTCCTTTCAAAACATTTCTTTCCTATTTGCAAATGTTCAAAAGTTGGTGCCCCACCCTAGTTTGAGTTTAGCCAAAAACAACTTCAGAAATCTGGCTGAGCTGTTTTTTTTAAAACAGTACATTTCCCCCGTCTTTGCTCTGTAGGAGGCACTTTCTGGAGGAACATAAAACGTCTACTTTTCTAGCCATGTTTTAACACAAAAGGACATGCTCATAAAGCTGCCAGTGCTGAACA